TTGTTTATACTGCAAAACGTTAAAAAAAGACGATTTATAGGGGTGGTTTAAATTCGTAGCTGGGGGGGTGTTTTATCCGGGGTTGAATTTATGGTTGGAGGCACTTTTTTTTTTAGGGGTAGGAGGGCCAAAAACGGGGGGGCTTTTAACTGAGGGGGGGGGGGGGAGGGAGGGGCACATAAGCGGCAGGTTACGGTATTCAAGAAAGTCTCAAAGTTATTTCCTTCATGTATCTCTTTATTTAATTAAGTCAAATTTTTAAACACAGCCGATATGAGATTTCTGTCTCGTTCTTTGAATGAGGCTTTAAAGTATCCCAGCAAGACCGTTTGTACCCCGCCCCATCAAGAGGGTATCCCGACAACATCTCACTAAAATACATTCAGCTTAAATATTATAAGCGATCGGCTTCAAACAAACCCAATGGGCGATTTGTTTCAAGGGTAAAGGGATAACCTGTCCATCTTATATCAAAGGAGTTGTATCTAATTAGCCGGGGTTTTAACTCGTTTGCTGAATCTGTGGGTCAGAGGACTTCGTAGCTTTGGTTCCCTTTTTTTGTAATGCTCATTGAAGTCGAGTCTGAAACTAAGGAATCTTAAACTGACATCTTGATGGCTGGTTAACATCATTAGAAACTGCTGGACCATGTCCTACGAACAGAAAAAATAAAACGAAAAGTAAGGAAGGATACCATAGAAGGAGGCGTTTTTGTTTAACCCCCTCTACTCCCCCCACGTCCATATTCGTACACCCAAAGGGCGCTGCGCTCATCCCTCTAAAGGTGGATTACAATATTACTGCAGCGTATCTGGTTGTACATGCGTGCGCAGGTCACTTTTACGAGAGCAAATAAAATAGAGGCAATGTATGGTAGGTCGCGCGTGAAGGTAAAAGTTGAACCTCGCTCAACTTTTACATTTACGCGCGGCCTTTCATACATTGCCTCTATTTTATTTACGAGCGTTAAAATTACGCGACAGTGGAAATCCATCCTAACGCGAGGCGATATTTGTTGCAGGACATTTTGCACTAGGGACGTAATTCCGGAAGGAGAACTCTCAGTAATGACGGAGTACCTTTTTTGTTGCAGGCGAGGTTTTATACGCAAAGGAGCGTGTCGCTTTCTTTAATTAACCATGGAGACTTAACTAGCAATGGATATCTTCCGTAATGTAACATCTTGCACTAAGTATCATTACATGTAATTACATCCTTACAGGCAACGCACTCTCTTGTGAGAAGATATTTAGTTCAATAATGTGAAAATATCCGTGTTTCAGGTGTCTGTGTATTCACAACCTACCTGGTATGACTTTGATAGCACCCTTAGCTGGGCTCGGGTATCAGGAATCACATTATCAATAAACTTCACCGATCTTCTCCTCTCTTCCTCCTCATCCCATTCTGTCATACCCCATTCGCCCTGTCCGTCAGTAGGAAAAAAAAAAAAAAACTTGCGGTTATTTCTACAATTGGCCATTTTAAGGTTACATTTTAGGACTGGGCCGAGGTTGTGACGAATTGCTTTATGGGGCTGTTCTGGGGAAGGTATTTTGACCCAGTTTCCTGTGCGCCCTTGTAATAGCCAATACAAGAAGCGATAGTGTCACCGAAACAGTCCCAGAGTGCAATTCAACACAACACCAGCCTGGTCTGCCCTCTCCATTTGAAACGATCGCTGATCGCTTTCTTTAACTTAGTAGCTCATTCCTCAAAAAGTCAACCTACGTCGCTATTTTAGTGTCTCTGTTAAAGAGAGGCGGCGACGATTTCCCTGTTTTATTAGTTTGCCGCTCATAGCTCGGTATGGACCACCGGCGCGCGCTGTGACAACACTATGAAGCAGTTTCTTCACTTGCTAAGAATCATCTAAGACCAAGATGGTTGCAACACATACAAAGCCTGCAGAAAAGGAGAGTGAGCCTACAAATCATTGCTTTAGTAATATCGGTAGTATCCTATCGGAAATATGAGTGTTGTCTGGCAAATTTAACAGATACTATCTATCTTCTTATGGGGAAAAACCCCTGTTATTCTCGTTACCTATAAGCAGATGTATGGCGTACGTTTGCATATCAGAATGCGCATTTCATAGAATTACTAATACGTATTATTCACTAGCTAAGAATCGTACTCGGTATTTGAACTTCCTAAGCACAAAATCAGATAGGTCCCTCACCTCGTCTGTTCTCAGTTCAACAGCTTTTTCTAGCCTTTGTCGTAACTGTAACTCAGTAGTTGCAGCAGAAAAGAACGACTCTTGAGCATTCTGGAACTGGATGATCAGATCAAATATGGCTCGCAGCTGTGTCAGCATTTTCTAAGAGAAAACAGGTGAAAACAGCTAATCTGAGTGTCAGGGTCTTTATTAGAACATAGGGGAGGGGAGACCGGAAAGGAAAAATTCCAAACTGGTCCCCTTTGCCGCCGTTCTTTGTGTCGTCACGCAGTGTTCCTCCAGTTGGGGAGGAGCGTTGCGTGACGACACAACTGAGCATAGCTTCGAAGGAGACTAGCCTGACATAAGTTGCCGTAGTAGCTCTATTGACACTTTCACCTCTCCAAGTCTGTCACGGAATCGTGACATGATGTTCTACATGAATCTGTATTTGACAATTCAGCAGTATATTTTTTTGGTACTGTTTATTATGCTGTACAAGGTGATTCTAACTTTTGAGTCTGGATGAAATCCTATGGCGTGACCATTCATATGAAAACGACTGAGCAGTACTTGCCTTTGTTACTGTTTAATATACTGTAAAAAGTGGTTCTAACTATTGCGTCTGTGGACGAACTCCTTACGTGTGACCATTCAAATGAAAGCTACAGAGCAACACTTTACTATGGTACTGTTTAGTATGCTGTATAAGGTGGTTCTAACTTCTGAGTCCGCGGATGAAGTCTTATGGTGTAACCATTCAAATGGACGCTACTGAGCAGTGCGTTAACTTTGGTAGAGTTTTCTATGCTGTACCAAGGTGGTTGTAACTTTTGTGTCTGTGGACTAAATTTCAGGGTGTGACCATTCAATTGAGACCTCTTTCCCAGTACGTTGATATAATGCTCTTGGTTTTTTTTAAAGATTTTACCAAACGAATTTTTTTAATTACGACTTTACCACTTCTGAGAGAAGCCAGTCAGAACTGTACTTACTCGTGACTCAGCATCCAGCAGGCACCGGTTTAACACTTGGTCCAGGAATGTCTCATGTGCCGCTATTATATGGTCCAAATCACTGGCCTCTGTTACTTGTTTCTTAAGCTCTGCCCAGCAACACTCTAAGACCTGACAGGATCATGAGACAAACAATTGCTTTCAACTTCATTCTCCAAATTTATAGTTTGCTGCATTACTGCTCGACTCGCTTGGTGGGTAAAACAGGACAAAGAACTACCTAAGCTTGTCTCGACTGCCAGAGCTCAGCTTTGGGGTCTCAAAAATACGCTTTATTTGAGTGTCAAGGTATTTAGCACGAAAGTACTAATTGGGGACACTACTTTTACGTCTCCAACTGGAGACGGGACCGCCATTTTACGTGGTCATCCGAGCCGCGCGAAACGTCCAGCCGCTTGCAGTACAAAGGTAGTACCTTCATTTCTCAGTTATTTTAAGACCCTGAGTATTGGTCCGGCCCCGGGAATCGAACCCGTGACCCCCCGCTCTGCCGTCAAGCGCTCTATCGACTGCGCTAACCCTGCCGCTCATTTTGAATTGCGTAAGTTGTTTTGGTTTTACGTTACTTCCAGGATCATACACCATCATATACCACTTTTGGCAGAAAAGGAACTCCTTTCGTATACCTTCCTTTGAAAAACTGTAACCCTTCAACAAACCTATTTTAATCAGAATAAATCCCCAACACAGCAAGTCCTTTTGTGTTTTTCGCGACGTGTAACGTTTTAATAAAATGACATAGCCATAAGGCACGTCTTTTCCAAGCATTT